GCGGTGTGAACAGGCGCGGGACGGGGTGCGGTGTGAACAGGCGCGGGACGGGGTGCGGTGTGAACAGGCGCGGGACGGGGTGCGGTGTGAACAGGAGCGGGGTGCGGTGTGAACAGGAGCAGCACGGGGTGCGGTGCGAACAGGCGCAGGACGGGGTGCGGTGTGAACAGGCGCAGGACGGGGTGTGGTATGAACAGGCGCAGGACGGGGTGCGGTGCGAACAGGAGCAGCACGGGGTGCGGTGTGAACAGGAGCAGCACGGGGTGCGGTGTAAACAGGAGCAGGACGGGGTTTGGTGTGAACAGGAGCAGCACGGGGTGCGGTGTGAACAGGAGCAGGACGGGGTGCGGTGTGAACAGGAGCAGCACGGGGTGCGGTGTGAACAGGCGCAGGACGGGATTTGGTGTGAACAGGAGCAGCACGGGGTGCGGTGTGAGCAGGAGCAGGACGGGGTGCGGTGTGAACAGGCGCAGGACGGGGTTTGGTGTGAACAGGAGCAGGACGGGGTGCAGTGCGAACAGGAGCAGGACGGGGTGCAGTGCGAACAGGAGCAGGACGGGGTGCAGTGTGAACAGGAACAGGACGGGGTGCGGTGTGAACAGGAGCAGGACGGGGTGCGGTGTGAACAGGAGCAGGACGGGGTGCGGTGTGAACAGGCGCAGGACGGGGTGCGGTGCGAACAGGAGCAGCACGCGGTGCGGTGTGAACAGGAGCAGGACGGGGTGCGGTGTGAACAGGGCAGGACGGGGTGCGGTGTGAACAGGCGCAGGACGGGGTGCGGTGTGTGCACGTGTGTACGCATCTGTGTATGTGTATCACTTGTGTATGGGAATGTGCACACACACGCATGCATTTGCGTGTACATACATATTTGTGAGCATGTGTACCTGTGTATGTCCATGTGCGGGTGTATGTGTGCAAGGGTGCGCACGCATGCGTGTGTGTGCGTGTGTTCCTGTGCAGCCACTTTCTACACACAGCGGCTCCCGGTTCCCTCCCTGCCACCGTGGCTGGTGTTTTCGCCCCGCCCCTCCGTGGTCGCTCACTGGTGTCTCTCGGATGCCCCGCCCCGCCCTGCCCTCCGTGGCTGCTCATTCATTGTTCTCTGGGACATCCCGCCCCACCCCTCCGTGGCTGCTCATTGTTCTCTGGGATGCCCCGCCTCCCCACGTGGTCGCTCACAGTGAGCTCCATCGACGGCGGCAGGAGCAGACATGCATTGAAGGATCACAGGTGAGAAGAAGGGTTTCTTTCACCTGGATGGCCATGTCTGCCCTGGCACCCAGTGCATCATACCTCATGCCACATGAAGCGGGCGCCGAGGCCCACGCCTGCCATCCCAGCTACAACGAGGGCTGAAATCTGAGGATTGTGGGCAGCAAAGTCTGGGAGACTCTTATCTCCAATGAACCACCCAAAACACCCAAAGCTGAAGTGGTTCTGTGGCTCAAGTGGTAGGGCACCCACTTTGAACACAAAAGCTCAGGGACAGAGCCCAGGCCCTGAGTTCAAGCCCCAGGACTGACACCCACACATCCACACCCAAAACGGTGCACACAAAGGAGGGTGACTCACAGTCCACATTTGCTGAATACTGACCTTGGCCTGATCACTATATACTGGCATTTGCTTCTAAAATCTCATTTAGTATTTACAATGAGCAGCATTATGAAAACCCCCATTTTACAAAGGGGAATGGACTCGGGTCATGTCCGTCCAGGTTTCGCTAAGCGTAATGTAGGAAACCCTGCCCGATTCCCCGAACCAGACACCACATGGGTCAGACGACAAGTCTTTCCAAAAGAACTGGTTCCAATCCAGTAGCGCACACCTGTAATCCCAGCTGCTTGGGAGGCTAAGATCCGATGTTCCTTCACATGGAGGCTCTTCAGTAGAGTGTGAATCCCTGGATGCTGAGCTCTTGGAGAATTCCCCAATGTCAGCACTGAATCACAACCCTCCCCGTACCCCAAAAACCCCTGGGTGGAGATCTCTGCCCTCATGATGCAGGAGGGTGACAGCGGCCAGGTGTGGCTACTCATGCCCGGAATCTTAGCTATGTGGGAAGCTAAGCGCAGGAGGAACACAGTTCATGCCCGCCCTAGGAGGAGGAGCTAGGGAGACCCCATTTCAGCAAACAAGGTGGGTGTACTGGAGGGAGGCTAGGAGAGGACGGAGGCCCGAGGTCAGCCCGGACCAAAAGTGTGAGGCCTCGCCCAGCCAGTAAGAAAATGCTCCTCTATCTCAGCCAGTCCACGGGCGCTTTCCCCATATACCAACTTCCTTTAGTAGATTCCAATGGGGACCTGTACAAATTCATTCCACATAAAAACGTGTAGTGGGTGCCGGTGCTCACACCTGCCATCCCAGCTACTTGGGAGGCTGAGATTGGAGGATCATGGTTCAAAGCCAGCCTGGGCAGGAGAGTCCTTGAGACTCTGATCTCCAATAAACCACCAGAAAACCAGAAGTGGTGCTGTGGCCCAAGTGGTAGAGCACCAGCCTTGAGCAAAAAACAACTCAAGGACAGCGGACCAGGCCCTGAGTTCAAGCCCCAGGACTGACAGACACGCAAACAACAACAAGCCTGGCGCAGTGACTTTTCAAAAGTCAGTGCGATGCTCAACCCGGGCGGCTGTGAAGTCACGTCCACGCCCTGCCCATGTGTGAGATTACACCCCCTTCTGCCCCTCCACCACGCATGCTGCTGGTGCACCTGCACACTCCCAGTCCAGCCAGCTCAGGATCCGAACGCCATCGCCACCACCGAGGGTGGGGCGCACTCCATGGAGAGCTCACCGGAGCGCAGGGCACACACAGTGCCTGTGGGGAACGCCCCCCAGCCTGGCCTGGGAATCGGGGTGATGATGTCCTACCCGCTCCCACTTCCTCTCCTTGTTGAGCAGGATGATCACCAGCTTCGGGTGCATCTGGTACCCATCCTCGCTGAACGACAGGTTTCTCCCCTCGAACGTGACGTTGATCAGGTACCTGCAGAGACACAGACGTGCGTGTTAAGGAGCGCGAAGCAGGTGGAATGGGGCTGGGGTGGGGGATCCGACACGCGGCCACCACGGGGGAACAGCACCGGGCACACACCCGCCCGCGTGGGCAACCGAGGAATCCGCATCTTCCCCATCGCGGTGGGAACCACAGAGGGAAGAATTAATACAGTAACTGAAAAAAGAAAACAGCACTAGGTTGGGGTTCTGTCTACAGCTCCGAGTTTGGCCCCCACTACTGCACATTGGAAACCTCAGCATCCCCCCCCCACCCCATGTGCAGAGTGTGATAAGGAGAGACGCTTCCACAGGAAGAACTAAGTTAAGCACTCATCACGGTGCTTGGGACATATAAGAACTAAGTTAAGCACTCATCATGGTGCTTGGGACATATAAGAACTAAGTTAAGCACTCACCATGGCCCCTGGGGCACAGTAGGCTCTCATGAAGCGCATGCACACAATTCTTTTTTTGGGGGGGGTCTGGTTGTGGGGCCTGAACTCTGGGCCTGGGCGCTGTCCCTCAGCTCTTCAGCTCAAGGCTAGCGCTCTACCACTTGAGCCACAGCGCCACTTCTGGCTTTTTTTCTTTTTGCTTATGTGGTGCTGAGGACTCGAACCCAGGGCCTCATGCATGCAAGGCAAGCGCTCTACCACTGAGCCACCTGCCCAGCCCCTCGCTTACAATTCTTAACTCCAAAGAGGTGAAGGGAAAGAAAGTGAGCGCACACCCAACCAACACAAGCACACACATCTTCCTGCATGCACACGCGTGCACACGCAGGCCACATGCACATACATGTGCACGCCCCACTCTCTGAGAGTCCGGCACAGCCCCTATTCCTAAGCATTATCAGAGGAATCCGCTAGAGAGATCTCACTGCACAGACCAGAGTCCTGAGGCCCCTGCCCTCCCCATGGGGAACAGGAAACCCCTGGGGGTGGGAAAAGGGGAGGGAAAGGGGCCATTTCTGGGGGGGGCTGCAGGCATAAATGAGCAGGAAGAGGGAGATCAGTGTGGTCTCTTCTGGCCAGCTGGAGTCCCACATCCAAGCAGCCCGGTGACCAGTGCGATGTGAGCGAGGCCCCTCCCAGGGCCCGTTCCCTGGGGAGATGGTCAGGATCATTAGCGCCACTGGATGGCTGGTGATTAATGTTCCTTTATCACGTTGATAAGCGTGAGCGCTGGCTGCATCCCGGAGCTCCGGGCTGGACACTGCCGGGGAGCCTCTTTGCTAAGCTAACAAGCAGGGGGTTCGGGGGCTCTGATAACGGCTTGGGGGGTTTCCCAGGGACATGGGAGCTTCGTGGGTTCCTCCAGGTGCTATTAGGTTAATGGAGGTCAGGACGCTGGGGACTCCCCAAAGGGGAGAGAGCCCTAGAACTTTAGAACGGACAGACTTTGGCAAGCACCTGGCTGCCATTTGTCACTGCTAGAGACTTTCTCCCTTGGTCTTGAGTGCTTCCCTCCTCAGGGCTACTCAGCACAGCACCTACCCTCAAGGCAAAGCTTCCCATAGCTAGGTGGCTCGGTCTCACTTGAAAACTGGGTTCCACTTTCTACTCCTCTGGAACCCTTTGGTCCTCGTTCTCCTCTTTAGATAGCTCATAGCCTTGGTGTAATTCCTTCTTCCGCAAGAGAGTTCTTCAAGCATCTGAAGACATTGAACACTGATCATGTAACCCTTATAATTGAAGTGCCAGTCCTGGGGCTTGAACTCAGGGTCTGGACAGCACTGTCCCTGAGCTTCTTTTGACTCAAGGCCCTACCATTTAAGCCACAGTACTACTTCCAGCTTAAATTTTTTATTTGTTATTAATTGGAGATAAAGAGTCTGACGGACTTTTCTACCTTGGCTGGTTTCGAACCAGCAACCCTCAGATCTCAGCCTCCTGAGTAGCTGGGATGACAGGTGTGAGCCACCAGGCTCTCAGCTTCACCACCTATTTTGATTTGGAAAGAAACCTCAAGCACCAAAGGGCTCAATTATTTGTTCCATGTTCCATTCCCAATTGGGATTAGCGGTGACACTTAGCACAGTTCCCAGTTCTCCCCTACCCACCCCCTACCGGGCTTTTCTGATCACGTGGGTTTACATCCATTCCTCCACCTGGACCCTGGTCATGGCCTCAGGTCCCTCCTCGCCCCGAACACCCCCAGTCCATAAAGCATGGCCACCCATATTGGGCCTGGAACCCCGGCCCAGTGTCTCCTGAGCTCTCTGAGCAACCTTTCACCCGAGATCCCAGCCCAGCATGAGCTGGAAGGAAAGGACCCAAACTCAAACCGAGAGCTCTCTAGAACTCAACCCTAGAAGCATCATCACCAGAGCACCAGACATTTTAAACTAACAAACCACACTTTGAAGTGCTCGGTGCCATTATCTTGCAAGAGATAATGGCCCTGGCGCTAACAGTAATGGACTGTGTGGAATAATTTCTGGAGCTCTTCAGAGAAAGGTTATAAAACACAGAAAAGAATTCAGCCTCATCTCATTTTTTTTTGAATGAACAAAAAGAAGACAGAAGGAGGGTGGAAGTCAAGGAAGGAAAGAGGGAAGGGGAAGGAGAAAATGAAAGAAGGAGAGGAAATGTGTTATCTGGGCTAAACAGCCCAGCTCTAAATAATTCTCACTTGATCAAACACATTTAAAAGACACCGTTCGTGGCAGAAGGCAATGGACTGGTTGCAAGAGAGAAGTTTCGACCAGCGGTGCACACTGGGTGTGTATGCGTGTGTGGAGGAAGGTGCGTGGCATTGGCGCGTGGAGGTTGAGAAGTTTGAGAGTTGAGGAAATGCAGTTCCCTGGTGGTTCTTGTTCTAGAATGCAGACACCGTCCTTCGTTCTGGGGTGTCCTCCACCTCCCAGCTCCGCGAGGTCAGCCCCTCATATCCACACACATCTCAGAGTATTTTAAACTTAACCCATCTCTAGGTACCATCGCCTGACGACGTCCAGGACATTCTCCAGCAAAGCATCTTACAGTGTTTCTACCCTTCGGCAGCGACAGATTAATCATGCACAGTGTTTTTTTTAAACTGAGTGATTAATGTCCTGTGATATGACACTATTTAGCTATTAGTGAAGAGCCTGAAAAAAAATATATGTATTAGCCTTGGGCAAGGATGCCCTTCCAAAAGTAGAACAAGCTCACCTAATAGCTGGTGAGGAAGACGGGGCAGCCGTGAAATGGAGGAGGTTACTTTTCTCGTTTTTGTTGGTCGTGGGGCTTGAACTGGGGGCCTGGGCGCTGTCCCTCAGCTCTTCAGCCCCAGGCGAGTGCTCTACCACTTGAGCCACAGCGCCACTTCCGATTTTCTGGTGGTTCATTGGAGATCAGAGTCTCATGGCTGGCTTTGAACCACGATCCTCAGCTCTCAGCCTCCTGAGTAGCTGGGATGACAGGCGTGAGCACCTGCTCCTGGCTGGAAGCGGTCACGTCTAGATGTGAAATGTTGGCCCTGAATCTCAGTGCTCTCTCTGTTGGAGGAAGATATGGTTTCACTCTTCCTGCCTTGATGACCAAATGAATGAAAGGATCCTGGAAAGAGTACATTGGCATGACCTGAGTATCTAAAGAACAGAAACTGACTTCATTTTGAGCCTTGGTGAGTGAAAGGAAGTACTGGAGAATGGGGTCCCTGGACGGGGAGGATGCAAACGTCATGCTCATGCACTGAACGTTCCAGAAGACCTGGAAACAGCCAGCTGTACTTAGATCTTGCTTTACTTGTGCAATTTTGAACATTCAAGTCATAAAGCTGGGTGTGGGTGGCTCACACCTGTTGTCCCAGCTACTCAGGAGGCTGAGATCTGAGGATCACGGTGCAAAGCCAGCCTGGGCAGGAAAGCCTGTGAGACTCTGATCTCCAGTGAATTAACAAAAAGCCAAACATGGTGGAGCACCAGCTCTGAACTCAAGCCACAGGACTGGCACAGAGAGAGAGAGAGAGAGAGAGAGAGAGAGAGAGAGCGCACAAAATTGTAGAGAGAGAGAGCACAAAATTGTATGTAAATTGCTGAATAAAGAGTTAAGATCAAAAGCCCCCCTGGTAGTTTTGCACTTCTGTGAACACTTCTTCCTCCCGTGCACAGAAGCTCTAGCTCCCGGGGACACAAGTTCTGCCCAAGCACAGATTCTGAAATCTTCCCACCATGGAGCGGGAGGGGAGGGCAATTCTCCTGGACCAGTTCTTTTCCAAGGGAAAAAGGCCCAGGCTTTGCAGTTTTACCAAGATGCGATGACAGGGCCAGGAAGAGACAGGCCCCACTCAGGACCCCACTATGGTGGCGACTTCCACAGCTCCCCTTCTTCTTCTTGTTTTTCTTTTTAGCTAGTAAAAGTTAAACGGAAAAGGATCAGGGCTCTGGGAAGGTGGATTGAATTCACCACCCTCAGGTTACAAGATTTCTGCCTCTAAAGAAAATGTCTAACCCTGACTCTGGGTGGTGTCTTGGTGTAGGCCTTGGAGGCTTGTATCTGTGAAATGACCAGGCTGGCTTGAACCATCTCGTTTGCCTGACATGGGAAGCTGTTTTGACACATTGTGTGTGTGTGTGTGTGTGTGTGTGTGTGTGTGTGTGTGTGTGTGGTCCTGGGGCTTGAACTCAGGGCCTGGGCACTGTCCCTGAGCCTCTTCATGCTCCAGGCTAGCTCTGTACCACTCGAGCCACAACTCCACATCTAGGTTTTTGGTGGTTAAGTGGAGAGAAGAGTCTCGCAGGCTCTCCTGGGTGGGCTGGCTTTGAACTGCAATCCTCAGATCTCAGCCTCCTGAGTTGCTGGGGTGATAGGCGTGAGCCACCAGCACCTGGTTTAAATTACTTTTTATTGTGTGCAGTTGAGGCGTACAACATGATGCTATGGGTCATGTACAAAAAGCTGAGCACAGGAAGTTCATATATCTGTCACTTCTCCTCTCTTCTGGTTAATACTGAGATAGTTATTATGTTACTGAGCTCCAGCATCTGGTAGCAAGCCCAGGAAT